GAGGTCTCCCTTGACTCCTCAGGGAGACACAGGACCCGTTTGGCCAGCCCTGCCTGGGTGCTGCCTCCTGACCTCCATCACAGCATGGATCAGCCACACCAAAATGTCTGTTTACCTTTCTGTCTCCCACACACCTGAGTGTGCTCTTCCAGGACACAGAATACGGAGCAACTAAGAGCTTAGACTCCAGAGTCAAGGAGTGCTGAGCATGAGTACTGGCTGTATGACTTTACACCAATTACTTAACCTTCCTTGCCTCAGTTTCTTCATCAGTGCAGCAGGGATCATAATGTCTACCAAGCTAAGTCATAGGATATTTATGAGAATTCATTGATGAATTGCTTAAGTGTTTAAAACACTCAAAGCAGTCAGCTGGGTAAGAGGATACAAGTGGAGGGGGTGCTATTTACGGTGGGGTGAGCATGGAAGGCCTCTCTCGGGGTGATAACTGGACAGAGCCCTGAATGATGTGAGGGTGGGAGCTATGTGGCTCTCCAGGCTCTTTGCATTCTCCTAATATTACAGCTGAGATGTAGCTCTGTCAGCTTTATGGCAGGCTGGACTCTGGGGCTGCCCTCTTGGGCCCTGGGACATCATTTAGCAGATTTTCTATTATGATGCTGGTTGTCTTGCCATCCAGGCGGGGGTGCTCATCCTTGGGAATCAGGCTCAGGGGGATGAGCTGAAACTAAATCAAGGTCAGGGAGGAGCATGCGGTGCCTGCACGAGGAGCGTGACCAAATTCCAGCAGCACAATCCAGAACCACCTACACCCTCCGAGGAGGGCCGAGGACTGGCCCCCGTTCTCATTTGCAAGCACAAAACAGCACGGCCTTGTCTCAGAGCTGATGCTAGCTTCATCAACCACTGCCAAGATCTCAGAAAAGAGGGTTTGGACTACAAGTTAAAGGTCCTGGCTTGGTCGTGGGTTTTGTCTGGTTCTGTCATTTGCAAGAAGAGGGCTCTGTGGAGGATGGCTCAGAACATGGTGCGGGGACAGAGGGAGCTCTGGGGTGAGAGGCAGAAACCCAGGCTGTGCTAGCAGCCTCTACCTGGGCGACCGTGGACAGCACAGCTCAGGGTCTCGATTTCCTCTTCAGGAGCTTTCAGGAACTGCCCGGGAGAGTTGTTTTCGAATTTTTCTTATCCACAGAAATAGTTATTTAAGCAAGATGTGATTGAGAATGATGAATGGGGTAAGGCCTGGACACCACGGCCTCACACTGTGTCCCCGTCACCCCAGCGCACAAACACGCAGATGCCAGCCCTGAAAGAGGCTCTCAGGGCCCCTCTGAGAGTCAGTGTTCCATGATTCAACATCCCACCCACATAGCGTGGAGTCCTTCCAAAGCGTTAGGCTGAACCCCGTGAAATTACTGAGATCTGACAATTTTCGACTTGCAAAAATGGCAATGTCGTATTTCAGCTTGATAGTTTCATTTGCAACAGGGTTAACGTTGCTCCTCAGCTTGCTGTCTGTGTGACGTTGCACAAGATACCTCACCCCCTTCCGCCTCCCCTGTAAATGGGCAGACGGGCATTTTCCTCATGAGGCTGGCTCCTGAGAGGGCTGAATGAAACTGCCGCAGAGGCGGGGCAGGCAGCTCTAACACAGTGATCGGCACACGGCGCGGAAGCCCTCCATGAGCATCTTACGGAGAAAGCCTTCACTGTGGCCTGTGCGCTGAATGCAGGGAACGAGGCCCAACCCTTCTCCCTGCCTGCGTGAAAGGAGTGTGTGGACAGAACAGAAGGGAAACAGTCTCAGCAGGCCTCCAATCGGTCACCCTGTCCAGAGCCCCCTCTTCCTCCTGGTGAGGGGCGTCCCTGGGCAGTGGACAAGCCTGACCTGGGTGTGGGGATGGTGTTGGAATAGCATGAGTGACACTCTGGGGAAAGCATAGGAGGCTCCCTCCCCAGGTACCTGCGTGGAGCCTTCCCCCTTAAGTGGTACATCATGGAATGTGTCAGCCTGAATTAGCAGGCAGGCCCGTCACATTAAGCTGAAGCTCCGGGCTGGCAGTTCCCACTTTGTAAAGCCTCTTGATCCAGGCTGTCATGCTCCCCTCCCCGTCACCACAGCCCAGGGAAGCCTCTGCCGACAACGCACAGCAGTGAAGGAGGCCCAGGGCAGCGTTTCAGAGGAGCCATGGAAAGTCCTCGCAGATGCCATTTCTTCTGTGGCCCCGGGGAGCCTGCTCTGAGCTCTGCTACCTTGGGGGGCAGAGGAGCAGGTAGCACTCAAAAGCTTCATGTGGGGAGTTTTTTTGTGACAAACTATAAAAGCACGGCTTGTGTTTCTGAGAGCACACAGAATGGACACCCTATTCAAAGACCATGAACACCTACAATACCGAGTTGAGGTTTCTAGAGGCAGCTTAACCACCGAACTCTACAACTACCACTACCATTATTACTATCAATAATGCTATTGATTCCATAAATTCCACTGGCACTTCACTCGGGTCACCTACAGAGCATTTATCTCTTCCCACCCTGATGGTATTTGAGGGTGGTGTGGTACAGTGGAAAAGGCACTAGCTTTGCAGTCAAGGATACTCTGCTATCAGATTCTAGCTATGCCTCCTATAGCTGGGCAACCCTGGGCCAGTGTCTTAGCCTCACTGAACCTGAGTCTTCTCTCTGTAATAGTACTTTGTATGAGTATTTATTTCACAGAGTTGTTGAAAGAATTACTTGAGATGATGTATGAAGAATGACTGACACAGAATGGATGCCCAACAGATATTTGCAGGGAGAATTCCTAAGAGCAGAGTCACTTTTTTTATCCATTACAAAGCCTTAACTCAGATGCCCCCTTAATTGGTGCTCATAGTGTATCACCTTCCTTTTCAAACTTCTACCTCATTCATCCTCTAACGTTCTCCACTGTATGTCAGGAATGATCTAATCGAAACTGAATCTGATCATGTGACAATCATTGTAAATCTTTTGATTTCTTCCCCTTTATCTTAGGATAAAGGCAACAATCTTTCTTGGGGCTTGCCTCCTACCTACTCTGTCACTTCATCGCCTACCATGGTTCCTATTACCCTCTCTGTCACAGCTGCACTGAGTATTGAATCTTGCCTTGCTCATCCCCACCACAGGACCTTTGCACATGCTATTTTCTTGGACTGGAACATTCTTCCCTCCCCTCCTGGCCTAGTAAACCCCTTCTCATCCTTCACAGCCATCCAATTTATACTTCCTCAGCAAAGCCTCTCCAGACCTCTCTGAGCCTGTTAAATCCTCCTTTGCACTATTTCTCTTCTTTGGGGCACTTACTGCATTTTATTATGAGATGATTTCGTATCAGCCTCCTCCATCTAGACCAGCTATATGAAGGTGAGGCCTGTGTCTGGTTTTGCTCACAAGTTGAAAAACACCCCCTCCCCTCGACCTTGGACCTTGTACAGAGCTCAGTAAATGTTTCTGAAGGAGTGACTGGGAGGGTGAACCCGGGGGCAAATCATCTCAACAGACCCCAACCACCCTTGATGATAATTAGGGCACACTGGGTATTATCATTGTTTTTCAGACAAAGCCCAGATGGGGCAGGTTAATCGCCTGTGGTCACCTAGCCTGTGGGTTAGTGTGAATCTGTGACCAGAACCCAGGTCGCCCGGTCCTTGGCATCCCTGGGCTTGTGCTGCAGAACCATTATCCCTCACTGGGCTGGCGGGCTCACAGAGACTTCCTCTCTCCTCCCTCTCCTGGTACTCAGAGGACCCCTGACTCTTCCTACATCCACATCTGAAGCTACCTCTGGTTTCCAGGATACCCAGCACCACTTCTATATAGACTCTGTGATTCCTCTGAATTGTTCACTGAATTTTAAAACTTCCTCAAAAGTGAGCTAAACTCCTTCAAGACTGAGCTGGGAGCATTCTGTTTTGTGAAAGGTTATATTGTTGAGGGGGCTGCACTTCACAAAATTTAACCTTTATTTTCGCCGCCTTCTCCTCACTGCTGGGTTGAAACAAATCCAGATGTTGAAGTCTTCATCAACACCTGGTATCAAATCAGTCAGGGCTCGGTTGCAAGAGATGACTTCCTTGAAAAGAAAATAGCTTTTGGTCCTTCCAGTTTATTGTTTCTGTTAAAGGACCACACCTGTGTTTTGTGTTTCTTTTGTTCTGCGTCTGTCCCATCTCAGGCAAGAGTGTCCTCCCTCACTTTCTCAGGAGCCTGTTCCCCTGGGTGTCATGAGAAGTACCTTTGAATTCAAAGAGGGAGTCAGATGAGTGGTGGATCTTTGCTCATATTTGAGAAAGAGCTTCCTGTGTGGGAAACTATTTAATTGCCTGATTCTCTCTGACCCATGGGGAAGAAAACATTTACTCACATATTCTTACTCACTTATTCAACAAATAATTGCTGAGTGCCCTTTATGTGTCAGTGTGATGGCCATATAGTTATGGTCCCAACTAGGACAGTTTTGATATAAAAGTGGATGCTACCTGGTTGGTATGCCAAGACAACAGGTATAAACCGAGAGTTTCCCAGGTGAAATAGGACGTCAGTGGGTGCCCAGTATATTAATGGCTGACTTTAGACTATTAGAATCTTGGTTGATTATATGTTTTTCCAAATGCCCTTAAGGACTGAGGACCCCTGGTTGGGGTCTAGGCCTCCAAAGCCATGAAGGATAAATTTGGATCAAAGTTAAACTAGATGTTTCTAAAATTTCCCAACAACTTCCTTTTTAAAATGTCTTTCATGTTTAAAAAACACGTGAACAGTCTGGAACAACAGCTCTGGAAGCTCATGACCACACTGTGGATTCTAAGTTCCCCTGAGATGAGGCCACCTCGAGGGGCCTGGGACAAGAACTTTAGATCTATAAGGGATGAACCTGCCTATCAGGGCTAAGTGATGGTGACATCTTTTGAGAAAGGAGTAAAACTAAAAGGAACGGAGGGAATAGGAACAACATGATTCATCGACTGATAATACATCATCTTCTCTAACTTCAATTTGTTTCTCTTGCATCCCAGGTGCCTGTCCTGAGACCCATGGACCTGATGGTGGAGGCCACCCCACGAAGAGTATTTGCCAACGCACACACGTATCACATCAACTCCATATCAGTCAACAGTGACTACGAAACCTACATGTCAGCTGATGACCTAAGGATTAACCTATGGAACTTTGAAATAACCAATCAAAGTTTTAGTATCCTTTCCTTGGGGCCAATAACCAATTGGCTTGAATTGCAAGGATTCAGGTATGAGCAGGCTTGAGGGGAAATGGAATAGGAAGGAGCAGTTACACTGCAACACCTATCACTTGGGGAGAACTGTTTCCTTTTAAATCACATTGGCATCTGTCTTTCATCCTCACAAAGGTGGGGAAGTATTGAATTACACGTGGTGGGCCAGGGCTAGCCCTGGATTGGAACTGTAAGCAATTCCCTCATGCAGAGGCGTTTGTGTGTCATGAATTAAAATCAGATGTGACTCTATCAACTATAAGATAAGACCCTAGAATTCAGTTAGTGTTCCTTCCTCTTGTTAAAGGATTCATAAATGGCCTGTATGGACAGCGTGGACCTCAGGTACACAGGACATGTTTTCATTGTATCATAATAGTGAAAATAGTAATGGCTGCCATTTGTTGAGTTCCAAGCACTGCAATGGAAACTTTGGGCTTACAATTTTGAAAAGTTCACATATCATAATTGTACCGCTTGATGAATTTTCACAGAGAACACCTGTGTAACCAGCATCCAGGTCAGGAAACCAAACTTTATTAGCAGTCCTCAAGTCCCCATCACACTTCCCTCTAGTCTCCACACACCCAGGGTGTATTTGATATAACAACCCCATAATGTAAGTTTTATTATCTCCTATTTAGCTAAAATTTAGAGAAGTCAAGAAAATTGCTGAATGAGCATCTGAACTAATATTCTCACCCCACTATATTGACCCTCTATTTAATATTACAAATAGGTCATTTATTCACGACCTATCGTGTGGTCCATCCCACCACAAATGTGACTCTTCACTTGAATTCCCAATTCTCAGTTAATAGTTTCACCACCCAGGCACCGGAGTGACTGACCTAAGAGTCATTATTGATTCTTTTCTCTTACTTACCAGTGTCTCCACCTCCAACGCAATCTATCTGTGAGCCCTGCCAATGCTTCCTCTGAAATATATCTCAAATCAACTCATTTCTCTCCATTTCCACTCCTCCCAACCTAGACTAGTATAGGCCACTGTTCTCTCACCTGTGCGACTGCAATAATCTGGTCTCCATTTTTTCTTGCTCTCCTACGTAGTACCTGTTCCCAGACAGTCAAAGTGGACCTCCAGATGTAATTCAGCCAACATTCCTCCCCTGCTTAAAACGCTCTAGTAGCTTCTCGTTGAACTTAGAGTAAAATCCTAGTTCTTTACTTTGGACTACAAGATTCTCCACAATCTGGGCCCTGCCTCCCTCTCTGATACCCTATCAGCCCATCTCCCCTAGTCACTCTGCTTCAGCCAGCTACCTCTTTGCTGTTCCTAGATAAACCTTGTTCTCACTTCCATTCTTGGCATTTGCTGTTCCCTCTTTCTGGAATACTCTGTCCCCAGAGTTCACATGGCTAACTACATGTCATCATTCAGACATTAATCTCATGTCACCTCCTCAGAGACACTTCCCCCTGTTAATTCCTAAGTAGCTTCAATAACCCTCTATCCCAGTTATCTTCAGAGTACTTATCACTATTTGAAATTGTCTTTTTGATTATGCATTCTGGGTTTGCCCATATTCAAATGTAAATTCTATGAGAGAAGGGACTTTGTATGATGCATTCCTGTATCCCAGTACCTGGAACACTTGACATATAGAAAGTACCATTTTGGTTGGACCTGTCAAGTTTGAAACAATAGTATGCCACCAAAGTGGAGATGTTAGGTGATTATGAAATCTAACCTGGAAATTTCACTTTAAGAATGTATTAGTTGTAGTAAAGCTCTGGATGTTCTGATGTAAAATAGACCCCATAATGGCTCAAACACATGAAAGATTCTTTCTCTTGAAAAGTCCACTATTGATGATCCCCATCAGGAGGCAGCCTCCCGCACTCAGTAATTCAGAGATTTGGGCTCCTTTCATCTTACAGCTCACCAATGCCCCCATGCTTATCTGCATCAGGACAGCAAAAGGGGAAGATTATGGAGGACCACACATCAGGGAGACTCCTGTGAGCCAGGCCCTGAAACAGCATGCATTCCATTGGGTAGAACTCCGTCACATGGCCACCTCTAACTGCAAGGCAGGCTGGGAAATGTAGTATAGCTGGACACATAAGAAAGAAAGGCGTGGTTTTGGTACACAGCTAGCTAGTCTCCACTGCAGAAGACTGCTCAGTAGTTCCCCAAGGCTTTTCAGGGAAGGCAGCTTTAAGCAGGTACTGGTGATTATGAAGACACTAGGAACTGACCATCAGGACCATGACTGGCATCTTTTGTTGATCATGGAGCAGACTCGGCATACTGTCTGAGTCTGAGAGAACCTGCCTACAGATTTTGCCTAGAAGTGCAGCTGCTAATAGAATGAGTGTGGGTGGTGGCTTCCTTTCTCCCTTTACATCTATTCCAAGAGCCAGAAATCTGCTCAGGCTCAGCTGCTGTCACTCTGAGCTTCTGCTGTCTCCAGTCTGGGTGACATGTTTTCTGAATTTTGCCTCTAGGCCTTCAAGGGGGAGGGCGGTTTCTTTAGGCAATTTGGGAGACAGATGCCTTGGGGAGAATGCAAAGGGGAAATATTAATAGCACAATTTAGGTTATATTCTGCAGATGTGCGACAGCCTGCCAGATGCTGGCATACAAATGAGACTGTGCCATTCACCCTTAAAGCAGCCATATGTAAAATAATCATTGTCATCATGAGAATGATGATAACTGATGTCTATATAGTTCTTTTCAACCAAACCGCCTTAAGCACTGAGCAGACTGTTCAAACCGGTACCTTTTTGCCTCTCCTCACTGAAGTGCAGCTGCCTCTCAGGTAGGAAGCATCCATCTTTCCAAACAGCCTCGGAAAAACGCCAACCACCAGCAGATTTTCTGAAACTATATGTTGTTTAGCACCATTTCTAGAAAGCCTCTCATCCACTAAGGAGGCTGAAGAAGTGTGATTCAGGATAGAATAATGTGGGGTTCCCAAAGCGTAGTCTGAGTACCACTGAGGTGGTGGGCAAGGTGCTTCTGGGCAGTCCGTGGACTTTTTCTGTATTCATAATTATGTATTTATGATAATGAATATTAGAAAATACAATGATCATATCAGTCATATGATTTCACAGATACTGAAAAATCCATTTAAATTATCAAGTAAGTATATGTGAAGAAAAGTGGTTAGTAAGACAAGTGGTCTTGCTATACGGTTAAAAAAAGTCACAGCTCCCAGTGCCTGACATTGAGTGTGACATTGGCATTATGGTTGAGAACACAGGCTTTGGAGTCCGACGAGCCCAAAGTTCTCACCAGCACTACTACTGGTTGGTTGTGTGAGCTTTAGCGTGTCTCCTAACTTAGCCAAGCCTCTGTTTAATGATCTGGAGAGAGGCTCTTTATCAAAGAGGATTGTGAGAATTTTTTTTAAAAGACGTTTTCTATATATATAAAATTATCCATATATATAAAGTATATATTTATATATTTTTAATTATAATATAAAATATATGCATGTATGTGTATACACATACAAATGCGTGCACATACATGTATGCTTAGGGCAGTACCTCGCTAAGTAAATGATAAACAGGGACCAACACAATCATGATATCATTGAAAGGACAAGGGAACTCAGGAAGTTAAATGTTAGAATGGTGGATTCTATTCTGCTAAATTCATCATCTGGATCATCTTCTCAGTTGTAGACTCCTCCTTTGGTTCTGCAGTTGGGTGCTCTTTGCAAGATGTTGCTCATTATACCCTAGTGAGCAGATATTTGCAGGCTCCCTGAGGTCCAGGGCCTTATGTTTAGCACCATCTCAGAGCAAGGCGTTCCCAGCCTCGTGGCACCTGGTCTTGAATCCTCTCCCTTCCATCCATAGCCGGGCTTTCCCTGTCTTGTGTAACAGGTTCTGGCTTAAAGTGGTCAAACTTTGGCCTTAATGGGTTAACTACATCAGGACAATAATAACTCATTTTTAGATGAGTGATATTCTAGGGCAAGAGGTAGCCCTAACTTTTCAATAACAGAAAATTGCTATAAAAAGATGTTTCTTCTTTATGAAAACTATGGTATACCTAGGATTCTTTGAACTCTCTTCTCAGGACTAAGAATGAGCTGACCTGGGCTTTTACCTAGTCCAATGTGGACCCTATTAAGTAGACTCATATCAAGTAAAAATAGGTGCTAAGCTGTATACTGAGCACCTGGTTGTTCTAGGCACTGCACTAAGCCATGGGGATGCAATAGTGAAAAGAAATAAATTTTCTACCTTCAGAATGATGTTCATCAAATAATCACACTAGTGAGTATCATTACCAACAAAAATAAGTCCTGTGAAGAAAGGGAATATAGTTTTGTGAATGCATTTCTTAAAAACATGATATAGACTAGGGAATAAAAGAAGACTTTGCTGAGGAACTGATTATTGAGTTGGGATCTAAAAGAGGAAGAGTATGAGCAAACTTGACAAAGAGGTGTGAAGAGATTGGTCCGGCATGTGCAAAGGTCTGTGGAAGGAGGGAGCATGAAATCTTTGGGTCACCGTGACTGGAGCCCAGAGAGTGAGGTGGAATGTGGTACAAGGAATGCTAGAAAGGTTAGCAGAAGCCAGACTTGCCGAAGTCCAGTGTCTAGGAATCAAACAAAGGATTTCTCTGGGAGAAGCCAACTGGACTCCAGGGGTGCTTCATCTTTGACCTTGGTCTTAGCAGCCCTGTGCATAGCTTCATTTGGTAACTAAGCTGAGGCCCTTTGAGAGTTGATTCTCTGAGCAGGGAACCACATAACCTCAATTCTTGGCTTTCAGCTTCTCTCACCCCTAAGTACCATGGACAGCGGCCTTTCTTTTAATCCCGTGGGATTCTACCAGGCAGGCTTTGAAGGAAGCTGGGGGCCTAGTGTAAATTTCTCTCCCTTGTTGCTGCAGTGGCTTTCTTCCTACCGGGAGATCAAATGGACATATAAATCTCAGACTAGCATTTAGCATAAAGGCAGAGCATCGC